TGATCTGGGGTGATGTAAGTACTCTCTGATCTGGAGACCACACCCTGAGGATCCCTGTTCCGGGAAATGTCACTACATACAGCAGATAGGAGGGAAATCACCACCCCATGAAATCAGAACAGTGAAACGGGGAGAGTCCAAAAATTTGAAGAAGAAATTACATAGGCAGGAGTTAGGAACTTGCCAAAAAGAGAGATCTGTGCTCTTGATGCTGTATAAACGAGAACACACCTGTGTGCTGCTGTTCTCTCCTGGTTCTGTCGCTTCACTGAAGGTAGCCAAGTGCTATCCGTGCAGATCGCTCCTCACTTCTGTGCTTGCCGCGTACATAACGTACTCAGTGATGTATGGTTAAACAATTGGTCAATATAGAAGGTGAAGTAATGCTCGCCTTTATAAAGAGCATTGCTTCATAGGTTTCCATCTTAAGAGATCATCTAGCATCCCAAGACTTAGTTCATGTTGACCTACTCAACAGAGTTAACATGAATAAAAATTCTGTCAAAAATACTGGGTATAAAATGCTTTGGCGTTTCTCCAGTTAGATTTGCTTCGTCGTGTTCGACATTTGCTTAGTTTGGGGGATTTTTGAACTATTTTTTTCTTCTCATTTCTCTTCTTTTCTTATTTAGCATAAGTTTTTAATATAACAGTTCCTGTAATAATCATACTTGTTCTTTTATTGTGTGTTTATTGGCATTCATTTGCATTTTGTGAGGTAGCTCATACTCATTTGCTGTCAGGAATGTGTACATGCAAAGAAATGTTCCTTTTTTGTATAATATGTTTTCATTTAAACAAATGTGTAACCCCATGATGGCTAAGCACCGACATCAAAAGTCTCCCCTCCAGGGCTGCTAAGAGCCTAAAGCCAACAATGAATGTCTTATTCGGCTTGATGGAAAATGATAGAACGCTTGGTTACCATTTGTGAGGCTTTGGGTTCAAATCACAGCACCACAAAAGGAAACCAGAAGTTGTTGTTGTTTGTTTTAAAATCATATTTAGCTTACTAATATGAATGCTTAAGCATGGAAAAAAATTGATTATGCCGGGAGACACACAAAACAAAGCACACTTCCCTCCAAAATTCATGTTCCGCCATTGGTGAATTAAAGGCCAGATTGGCAGTCTATAAACATAGGGGGAAAACTGTCATCCTGTTAGCAACTGTCTTACAATGTGACCCCAAACAGATGCCTTCAGTGTGTGGGACATCTGATTGTTTTATGGGAAAAAGGGAGTAACTTCTCGGCCCCAAACCATGGAAGTTTGATGATTTGTTTCAGCCTTTCTATGTTTACTACAAATCTGTCTTTTTAGAAACATGACAAAAGTTGGTGGAAACTTTATGAAAAATAAATGAAGGGGCTAGTTAAAAACTTGAGAGTAGCCTACCAGGACAGTTCTACTGGGAGATGGCACTAAGATTCTGATAAAGACGGGCTGGTACAATACTCAAGTGCTTAGAATCCCTTTCTTAGACATAATTGAAATTCCTTTTAAAAATTGTCTTCTCAGCCTCTTTGTATTTCTCAAGAAGGCGGTGTGACTCGCATCAGAACCAGGAGGATTTCTTCAGAGCGTGCTTCAGAGTTGGCTGTAATGACTAGGCTGTGGATGTTTCTCTGCCCCTCCCCTTGTCCAGCTTCCAACACAGGAAGTACTTCTTACCACGTAGGCCCACTTGATCATGTTCCACTTTAACAGGTCTCTGGGGTCTCTACCCCTTTAACTTCCATCACTCATCTTGGGCCCCTGGCTTCTGTCATTTCCGTACAGGTGGATGAACTCCCAGCAGCAGCTTGCTTGTGCGCGCATCACTTGGTATCTCTCTCTCTCTCTGTTTTTGTCTCTCACACAACTTTTTCTTCTCTTTTCCTCTTTCTCTCCCTCCACCACACAGAGTACTGTACTTATTTATGTAGTTCATATCTAGTAAAGTCTCCGCTCCTTGACGGAAGGAGCAATGACTTGTTCTCTGTGTAATCCTTTGTTACAGAAAGAAGGTCCAGCAAGTGGAAGACGCATCACAGATGTGAGGAGACCATGGAAGGATGTTTGTCTTATTCTATGACTTCCTTACTTACTTAGCTAGAGTTTCTGCTCTTTAAAATATATTTCTCTAAAATCTAAGGCAGAAAATAATAATAATCATTTGCTCCCGCTAGTTATATTTAACATTTCTCAGTACATATGGGGAATGTGTATCTCAGTTTATTAGAAAAAATAATGTAGAATACTGTGCCAACAAACCACCGATTTTATTTAGGATGTGTGATTATAAATAAATACATTTTGATGGTTGTCAGGGAAACACATTTATGTAGGAGAATGTTATCAACTGTCTCTAGGTAAGAAGAAATACTGAAACAATGTTAGGTATAAAAAATCCTCCAGTTTCCTTTGAACAGTTCACATAGAAAAAAATTAATCTAGGATATAGATTAAACCCCTAAAATATTTAAAGTGAAACTGCCGAATTATGAGGATGCAAAACTCAGATACCGTATGTTAACAGTACCTGCTTTTGTAGTTTAACTTTCTAAAATGTTGTTTATGTGGAGCCTATGGTGAACGTGAATAGTGAGTGCACCTCAGCATGGGGTGTATGCACCCCTGTTTGGACATGAGGCCAGAAGAGGACATCAGATGTCTTCTAGTATTCTGTCTTAATGCCTTGAGACAGGGTTTTTCTGCACCCAAATGCAACTTCGACTGGGCTGGGTGGTAAGTGAGCCTCAGTTTTCCTTTTTTGCAATGCAAGAGCTCTGACCCATTTCTTCAGCCTTGCTTTTGCAGTTTTTAAGGTACTGTATTTATTTTGACTTGCCTGCATTAAGATGTAGATGCAGATTCTCTAGATATATACTCAGTATGTTCTGGACACAAATCATGGTCAGTAACCTTTATGAAACACGTATTACATCCCAAAATAGCCTTTGTGAGGACTTTGTGAGGTGAATGAAGCCTGTCTGAACTGCTTTGAAAATGTGGCCTGAGATAACTCCACACAAATTTTTAGTGGCATTCATTATGATTTTTCCCTCAGCTAAAAACTTGGAGGCTTTTTGTTGGCTTAAAGGTATGTACTTATTATTCTACTAAAGAGAGGTTTGCAAAATCCAAATTCTATCAAAACATCTCCTGATTTTTTTTAGCCCTTTTCTTTTAACAATTTAGCCACAGTTCAAAACCCCAAATCATCAACATTCATGTCTGTACGACTCATTTGAACCAATTTCAATTGACCGTAACCATAACACTTTCTTGCATATTCAATATTTGGCCAAAATTTGGTACTAGATAGGCTTAATCATTTGGATGCCTTGACAATTGTAGATTAAGAGGCCAAGTTGAAGTGAAAGAATGCTTGTGTGTATGTGTGTGCGCGTGTGTGTGCATGTGCACGTGTCTGTGTGAATGTGTGTGTCTCACGGTATGGGGTAGGAGGGGGGTTGGGGATGTAGACGGAAGAACTGCTGGAGAAGATGAAGACAGCCTCATTGCTTTACTAGGCTCCGAGTTTGTCTTTGCTTGTCTAGGGGTTTCCTGTCCTCTACACTGCACTGGTGAATAGCATCAGTGAAGGAATTTGTCAGAGCCAGGGTGGTATTGGGAGTTGTATAGGAAAATAGCAATGTACCCTAGGAAAATAAAGAAGGATGGGCCCAGGAAGCCCAGCTCAGACAGCTGCCCTCGTAAGACATGAATAATAAAATTCCTCGTCATATTTTGCCATAAATAGAGGTTTGGGAATTTGTCATTCACCTCATTTAAAATGCAGAAATATTAAAGGTACAGGTTCTCTCATTATGGAAATAATAGAATTCCAGCTATTACCGAGTTAGGGTCATTTAAATGGATATAGCATGCATTATATCAGTAAGTGGAACATCTGTATGGAATGTCCACCTGCTGATCGACTACTCCTACCCCGCGCACAATCCAGCGGCCAGCACTTAATCATCTCAAGACTTCTTCTAATGAAGCCTTATCTAGATTAACATTTTAAGCACAAATACTTTCAGGCATTAAAACCCTCACACTAAATGAAATTGCATTGTCTTGTTTACCCTTGTTGATTAATAAGCAATCTGCTAACTGTTGGAACAGTCCAATTGTGGCAGGAGAAGGAGATTAGTAATTCAGTGATGTTTGTGGGTATAATCATCATTTCTCCTGAAGGCTCTGAATTAGAATATCACTTACACGCTATCCGTAGGCAAAGGAAGGATATAATATTTTTAGACATGTGTACCCACTATTTTGTTTCAATCGTTCAGCTTAGGGTCAGCGCAGCAATACGAATGCCTCTGAGAGGCAAAATGCTATTTTGATGCATGCAGATCCTTTTTAAATGGTGTGGGTGTCTATTAAAAGAAACAGAATAACCAGCAAATTGTGCAGTAATAATCCAGTGTCTCGATTTCTGTTTTAGGAACATTATTGCTTTGTTAATCAAGCATTGGAAGAGAAATATTGCCCACTGTTTTTTAGATAATAGAGTTTGCATATGAAAATTCTTTGCAGTATTATTTATTTTTTGTCAATAAAATACTGAACTTTTTCCCTCCAAAGAATGTATGGCTAAACGTAGAAGAATAACTGGAGGAGCATTTTCTATTTGTTATGTTTCCTTTGACCTTGAACCAACACTCCCAGTCTGTTTACAGTCTGGAATTCAGAGGACTTAAGTGATTTTTTTTCCCATCATGTGAGAGATTGCTAATACCTGGGTGTCAAGGCAAGATCTTTCATTTTGAAAACATAAATCAGAGGAAAGGGGACTAGGAAACAGAGACTCCTAAATTCCCTAGCACTCGTCAGCTGTGTATTGGAGGCCACCAATCTCAAGAAAACTGTAGGTCCCTTCTTGCCCTAGTGTTCGAAGCTGAGCATGTCCCTGCAATGTGAAATTATGATGGAAGTGACTGCCTCATGTTTCCAGAAAGCTGGTCCTCCTAACGCATACAAACTGGTCTCCTTCTCTATTGCAGTCCCTCTGTCATGAGATCAAGCAGCGTCGTCGAGGGGTGGCCTCCATTCTGCGGCTGTGCCAGCACCTTCTGGATGACCGCGACACCTGCAATCTGAATGCCGACCACCAGCCCATGCAGCTGATCATTGTAAACCTCGAAAGAAGGTGGGAAGCCATTGTCATGCAAGCTGTCCAGTGGCAAACGCGGCTGCAAAAGAAGATGGGGAAAGAACCCGTGAGTATCACTCCCCCGCAAAATTGGCTCTTTTTTTTTTTTTTTTTTGCAAACACATACTCCTTGGACAGTAAGTTCATTGTATAAGCTTTCTCGCAAACTAGAGGCGTATCCATCTCCTAACCAAAACTCCATTCATCATAACAGAAAATTATTCATGTTGCTAACATGCTTTTCAGTGCATCTCATTGTCTTTTTAAAAAAGTTACACGTATATTTTGGTTATCCTTGCCACTGGGGATATTAATTCTTTCATTTATTCCTTCACCAAAACATTCGCCAAGCACACACTACTCCAAGAATGTTTTGCTAGGAGATAGTTTAATACCCTGAGTACATGACACAGTGTGTGTGCTCTGGGTACAGTTTCATTGCTTGAATATCTGTTGTTTATCTTTCTGTTTAATGAGGAGTTAAAGCCATCTGTACACCTGTCCCCAGCAGTCCTGCTTCCAGGGTCTTCTGACGGATTACTGAGAACTGTCAAGTTTTCTCAGAGAGTTTAATGCAGTATTGGTAGTAGGGGGTAGTGATTTCCATTAACCATTTGCCAGACCTGCGGGTGCAGGTTTCAGCAGTTACTGGGGGAAAGAAATACGTAAGAATAGAAGCTGCTTTATTACAATGTAGAATACACATTTGCTCTGGAAGCCTTCACATTCTCAGGAGAAGGAAATCGTCCCGGGAAAGGGGGTAACCCTGAAGTGACCTTGACATCAGTGTCTACTAGTTGTGACGCCACTTTTCACATTTGACTTAAAGAAGTGAAACACACGTAGAGAGTGGGGTGTTTTATGTATATGCGGGTATATATATATATACATATACAAACATACACATACATACACATGTGTATATACACATATATTCTGGAATATATATGTGTGTGTGTTTGTGTGTATACATATTTATGTTCATTCCAGTCCTACATAATATTTGGAAAATGCAAAAAAGGAACCCACAGGTACAATTCTTGTCATTGAAAACACATACAAATTGTAGTCTTATCAAAGCTTTAGGATTTCCTTTTCTGGTGTGTTTTAGGTCAGGGTCTCAGGGCAGGAAGGCATGGGATCATTAAACCTGCCTGCCCATTTTGCTTTTGTGTTTGTGCTGAGTCTCGGGGTGATTTCTCTCAACAGTTCTGTTCAACTGATCTTAACTGAAGCTGTTACAGTTCTTAAGACTTACAAATTATTATCAATAATCAATAATTAGATGTCCTTTCCTTTCATTTTTCTCTTTTTTCTTTCTTTCTTTTTTCCTTCCTTCCTTT